AAAAAAATGAAGGGAGAAGATTTAATTCGAAAGTACAGAATGAAAGATTTTCAAAATCAAGAAAGTTAATGGTAAAGATTGGAAAACTTGAAGACACATATTCAACCAGAATAAGGATGGAGCTTTCAGTAATCGAATGCCAAAATTGCAATGAAAATATTTAATTCGCAAATAGCATGATATAAATCTTAAACAATGTGAGAATAAAATATTTTCAATTCAATTAAATTTACAAGAAATATCATCAAACTTTGAATAGGCGCATACTTTATATAGTTTCAAAGCTAAAGATTTTTGCAACAACAAAAGAGCATCATTTCTAAATTTGACACATGAAAGAACTCACTTCAATTTCCTGGTTTGCCAGTTCATTGAAACTCCTTCCCTTCTTCAAACAATCGACCAATTTGAAAGCATTGTCATTTGGACAAGCAATCCTTGCAGCATAAACTCGACTGGTGTTTCTTGCTTGTTCTGGCAGCTGAAACAGAGCCGAATTTCAATGAATTCTTTCATACTTTAATTTAGATGAAGCAATTTCATGGTTTGGACAATAGGTTCATAACACGAATCCAGTATTTCCCCCATTTCATATCCTCAATAATTTATTACTAGGTTTATTTTTCTAACTTCTGATTTTTAAATCTGCAACAACGAAATTGAAATGGTGCATTTCCTTATTTTGTCTTTCTCTGCTGACCAGTGCATTCAGTGCGGGTAAATGTCACCCACATCTTTCAATGCTTCAAAAAATGCTTCAAAAAAGAAATAATTCCTCACATCTGCTTCACTTGGTAACTTGTTTTCAACAAGACGTTTTAAAAATTTTAAAAGCATTCAATACAAATAAAAATGTTCCTCTTTTTTCCCCCCAAATCATCAGCAGAAATGATCAAAACCAAACCAAATGATCATACTGGGATTGAAAATTACCTTGATGGCAGCCCAATCAGCCAAGGCAGACCCACTCTGGGCAAACACCCCAAAGACCTTGTCCTTGGTCCTCGGGGTCAGCACGTGCTAAAACCAAACCAAATGATCATACTGGGATTGAAAATTACCTTGATGGCAGCCCAATCAGCCAAGGCAGACCCACTCTGGGCAAACACCCCAAAGACCTTGTCCTTGGTCCTCGGGGTCAGCACGTGCAACCCTGCTGCAGCTGCACCAGCACCCACACCCCATAACGTGATTCTCCTCGGGTCTCCATTGAACACATGCGCATTTTCATATACCCAACGAATGGCCAAAGCCTGGTCCAGCATCCCATAGTTTCCTGGTGAATGTTCATCTCCGGTACTCAGGAAACCTGAAATTATATGAATAAAATAAAATACTGTATATACATACATATACAATCTAATGAAAAATGTTTCTGTTCGAATCTGAGAGATCGATGAAACAAACGAATTTAAAAGATTAAATACGGCTGACTTACAATCTACACTAAATATTGAAAGCTCTATAAATTGAGCATCTTTCCCCAAATTGACTTCGCATTTCAAAAAATTTCAAAAAAGAAATGAATTTACGCATACAAAACGTTATCGAGAACAGACGGTTCTCAAAATACAGTAATTTCTCAGAGCAAAAACGATGTGAGTTACATCAGCCCACGATGAAAAAAATGTTTCAGTTAAAATAAGCTAATTTAAAAAACGAGGTACATCAACAACACACATAAATTTGAAAAAAGAAAATTTAGAACAGTCTTCAAAACGATCAGCCGATAATGCTTCTAAATAGGATAAACAATTGGAACGCATGAACTTTTCCAGACGAGATAATTTATCTCACATCAAGCAAAACAGCAATTTGGCAAATCTAGATTCATCACAAGTTCCCGAATAAAAAAATCTTTATTTTGACAGATTTTACCTGTTATGAGATTTTCCCTCATTATAGCAGAAAACCTTTCATTAAATTTCTTTGCCAATTTTCTTTCGTGCAGTTTACGAGCCAAAAAAAAAAATAGCAATCTCACCCAAAGCCCCGAGTCTGTAGTTGAAAGTCACAACAACGACTTCATGCCAGGCCACCAAAGCATGAGGTGGGAACTGGTTCGATGCTCCGTGTTCAAACTGTCCACCGTGAATATACACAATCACCGGATACTTGTTCACAACTGCCCCAGAAACCTTCACGAACACACAAACAAAAACAAATACAGTACATAAATAAATACAAATGATAAAATATTTCGGCCAAAAACAAAGCGACGTCAGTCACAAGAAAAATTCGGAAACTCGCCAGAATCGAAAAATTTCTGATCACAAAATTGCCTTCGGTCGTGTTAACTTTCTGGACACATCTGTCTCCTTTTTTTCATCTTCAAAGCTCTTTTTTCTAATTAAAAAAGTTTGAAAATTTTCAAAGAGATTAAATAATGGAGAAAACAAGAATATATAAAAAAAAGCCTTCAAGAGCGACATTTTGTCATTTTTGGTCCCAATGGACCTGCTATTTTTCGAACTTATCTGTACAGAATCCTGTCTCAGCGCATAAAAAAATTAAATAAAAGAGAAATAAACAACAAAAAAATACTAACAGAAGGCGTGTAAACGTTCAGATACAAGCAATCTTCATCCATTTCCCACACGTTTTGTGCCCCACCAACGTGTCTGGCTGGCTGGGGACAAGCAGGTCCGAAATCCGTCGCCTGCCATAATTGCCAGCCTTTGTGTGGACGAGGAGGCTGTAAAACCAAAAAAAACAAAAACGACGTGTTACCAAAAACAAAATAAATAAATGGCTGAAAAACAAGTCATGGAATGGGAGTCACTCGTGGGATTTCACGCTCACCAGCAATTAGACCAGAAATGTACGAACTTCGACACACCATTTGCACGCAAATCGGATTTTACCTACGTTGAAAATTCGTGAAAAAAAATATTACTGCACTTCAAAGCTCGACAAGACCTTTCAACATCACTGCGAATCTTTAAAAATGCGGAAAAACGAGAGTCCCAGGGAATAAAATGTCCACCTTATTCAGCGTATTCAAGAGGCCTTCATTTGAAAATAAACACTTCAAAACGTGGATTATTAAGCCAATTATTCACACCAGGTCTCGGATTTCAACAGCGCAAAATCTACTCGTCACTCATGTTTGAACTCGGGGAAGGGGAAAGGATTCAAACAAAAATCGCAACACTTGGCACGATCATTATCTATACTTTATGAGTGTTCCATGGATAATTACGGGTGTCTCGGGGGATCATCCGGGCGCCGGAAAGGGACAATCACCCCATTTCCGGTTTCCCACGCGAACCCATGCCGCGCGGAACGCCGCAACATTCTCACAAAAATCTTTCTAAAAAAAAGCACAACACCCACTCATATTACTGATAAAATCCGAGCTTATCTCTCAAAGACTCAGCAAATATTTGCCGACACACGTCTGTTCAGTTCTGTGAATCCCATATCAATCATCGGGCTGAATGAAACTCACCTTAAATCTTAGGTCGTCAATCGGAGGCATGGCGTAAGGAATCCCGAGGAACACAACAACGCTTTTCATCTTGGTGTCAATCAAATTATGTCCAGGTCTGTCAAACTCTCGTACTCCGGGGCCGTCATAAAGATACACATAGAAACCCTGAAATTAGGTCATAAACGTGAAACTCA